CTGTAGCACGGATCACAGTCGTCTCAGGTGCTCTTCGAATTCGCTTGCAAACACCACAACGGCGTCGAGGTTGACGAGACAGCTCTGCCATTTCAAGCTAGAAAGGACGGTGTCCATAACGCGCTGGAAGGTTGCCGGCGCTGTGCACAGCCCGAACAGCATTACTTTAAATTCATACAGTCCGTCCGGCGTGACAAAGGCTGTCTTCTCACGATCTCGTTCGTCAACCTCAATCTGCCAGTACGCGCTCTTCAAGACAATCGACGAAAAGTATCGGGCGTGGCGCAGCCGATCCAGGGTGTCGTCAATGCGGGGCAGCGGATAGACGTCCTTTTTCGTTACTGCGTTGAGCCGGCGATAGTCCACGCAAAACCTCAGGGTTCCGTCTTTCTTCTTCACCAGGACTACTGGAGAAGCCCACGAACTGTTCGAGGGCTGGACGATGTCGTCATCAAGCATCTCCTGAACTTGCTTCTGGGTGATTTCCCTTTCTTTCACAGAAATTCGGTACGGTGGCCGATGCACAGGAAGTGTGTTGTCAGCAGCAACTATTCGATGCTTCGCAACCGTCGTCTGGCGCACCTTTGATGACGTGGCAAAGCACTCCTTGAACTCGGCAATGAGGTCAGTCAGCTGTCGTCGGTGGGGAAGGGGGAGGGTTGTGCCGATGTCGAGCTCTGAGGATGACGCTGTCTCGCGTTGCGACGAAGGGGAGTCTTCAGAGATTGCGGCGATTTCGGCTGTGTCCTGGAGCTCCTCGATGTGTCCCACGGTGGTACCTTTTGTAAGGTGCTGAGCCTCTTGTCGGAAGTTCGTTACAAGGAAAGCAGTGCGTCCACCTTGGAGCTCCGTCACGCCTCTGGCGATACCGATCCCTCTGCCTAGGAGCAGTTGAACATTACCTTCCAGCAGGGCGTCTCCGCAGATTGCTGTTTCGGTTACGACGGGCACCAGCACACTCGAGCGCGGTGGCGAGTTGATGTGCTCGGACAGTATACGCACTGCAGCTGAGGCGGCCGACGTTGTTTCCTGATCCCCGGACGTCATAACAGGTTTCCGCAGTGTCAGCTGGTTGGCTGCAATGTCCACCGGAGGTTCGTATGTGCGGTCCATCCCACGACGCCATAACTTTCCGAAGGCGACGAGAGAGTCTCCCACTCAAAACGGAGTAGTCTGCTCCGGTGTCGACGAGCGCCGTCGCGTCGTGGCCGTCGATGATAATCTTGAGGTTATTCGACACTGTTGCAAAAACGTTGTTTCGGGGCGTGGCGGCGTTAGAGTGGGAGAGCTCCGACGACTTTGGAGGTTCTTGGCGTTGTTCGTCTTCGGCAACACCACCTCCGGCATTGCCGTGCCTAGTTTCCCCGGCGAGGAGCAAGGGGAGACAGGCTTTCACGTCGGGGTCGGTGCATCGGCGAAGCTGGACGTCGTGGTGATGGCGAACGGTATCCTCGAGAGGGAGCGGGCGCTGGAGACGGTGTACGTTTCAGGTAATCTTCGATGTCTCGAGGTCGTTCTCCGCTCCTTGGGCGTGATGCGTCCGGCGCGAACCCGCGAAGCCCGATCTGCCGGTAGGGGCATCGCCGGTACACATGGTCATCTTCACCCCAGTGGTAGCATAGCGGTCGCCTGTCGGCCGTCCGCCACACGTCGGTCTTCCTTTCCGCAATTTGTTTTCGGCGGACATGCGTCCGATCTTCCTGGTGTTGGGTATACTGCGGCGTTGGAGGTTCACATCGGGGGGGGGGGGGGGGGGGGGGGGGGGTGCGCCGTGTACGGGCGCGGGGCTGGCGGTGCTCGTCGGTTCATTTCGGGGTAGCTTACGGCTGGCTCTTGCTGTGCTACTGCGGTGACGGCAACCTCAGGATGGAAGGCTCGGTGAACTTCCTCTCGGACGACGTCGGGAAGTGAGAGTGAAGCTGGGCATCTGCAGCAGGTAGGATCTTGCGGAGCGCTTCCAGGACTATATCCCGGACGATCTCCCGAAGGCTGTCGACACCGGTGGTGCTCAAGTCCAGACGAGTAGCTGCGACGGTTGGAGCAGTAGGCGCGCCGGCGAGTCGGTGGTAGTGCCTTGCTCGGGACGTCAGTGCACGCTCAATAATGCTGGCTTCGGTTACAAAACCTCCGACAGTCGTTGGGGGATTGCGTACCAGGCCTCCGAAAATTTCACTCTTCACGCTACGCATGAGGGCGCGAAGTTTCTTCTCCTCGGTGGCCTCCGGATCGGCTCGGGCGCTTAGCCGCAGGACATCTTGAACAAAGCTTGTCACGCGTTCGTCAGGGCCCTGCACCCTTGAGCGAAGAAGGTCCTCTGCTCGCTGCCGAATGTGGTGGTTGATAAACGTCCTATTCAATTTGGCGGCGCATGACTCTCACAAAGTAAAGGAGGCTTGGTGGTTCTCAAACCAGTGCCTCGAGGTGCCCTCAAGCGAGAAGTACAGGTTCTGGAGGCGCTGCTCAGCCGTCCATCCGTTGTGGCGAGCTACACGTTCGTAATGCTGCAGCCAGTCTTCGACATCCTCGTGGGCTTCGCCGTGAAAGCGCGTGGGAGTGCGGGGGTGACGGGCAAGATGACGACGGGTGCAGTGGTCATGATCGGTATCTTCTTCCTCCGGTTCTCGGGCAAGAGACCCGATTCGGGGGACTGACCTCTGGTCCGGCGGCTTCTTCGGGCTTCGGCGTCTTCGGCGAAGGGTAGCCTTCCGGGGCTGAGCACCTCACTTGGCCGGGATGTCTTCGGAGGGGTACGCTTAACGGTCATAGAATGCACTACCCCGCACCTCCACCATATGTCATGAATGACAATTGATGGGGCGATGATAACTGAAGAAACTAAACGTTTAATGGGGCGAACTTTTGCCCAAAACAAAAAAAGGGAACAGAAGAATACAGCAGAGCGTCGCAGGCGTCGATGTCGGCGAAACTGCACAATCGAGCGCTGGGGCGAGACTGATCCCGGCTTGGCACGCAGGCCCCTTTTGTACGCGCGTGGGCTTCGAGAATAATCGATGTAGAAGGTCCGGGGCGTAGAAGATTCTAACCTCGAATCAGCAAGACGGTTCTCGAATTTACCGGAACATCTCATTACAGCGTCAACAAAAATATGTAGCCGCGGCCAGGAGTCGAACCCTGGCCGTCTGCGTGGAAGACAAGCGCGATAACCGTTTGGCCACGGGCGCGCTGTCCCAGTTGGTCAGCTGCCCTCGCGGCAATATGTACAGCCAATCATTGCGTTGCGCATAAATAACCTAGCGAATAACCATATCGAGAACGCGATTGTTCATACAAATTCAATCTTCACAGATGGTACCTTCGCACGAAGACGTTATCTCTGTCCTGTAAACAGCTGGAATCATGCTGTCGATCGCGATGATTGGCAATGTGCGTACTCCGCGGAAAAGCGAACCCTCAAGTTGTCTTCAAAAACAGTGCGGCTATTACTCGAGTAAATACGGTATTTATTATATATTTTGTGTGTGCAGTTCACAACAATACTTGAATAAAAATATCACTTTGAAGTTGTCCCAGCAATTCGCCAACTCCTCCTTGCTTTGTTGCTTTCTCTATCACGTGAGAGGCATTTGGATTCACTCAATCTGAAGATGGCTTTTCTTCATGATGACAACTAAAACAACTTGGAATTTTTAGCCACCTCTTTGAATCGTATGCACAAAAAATTCTACAACTTTACTGTGACTTCAAAAAGAAATCAGAATTTATTTTCGTTAATTAATCAAGTAATTGAATCTATTACTCTCTTACCAGGAGTAATTGTAGTCGATTCGGTTTTTCTTTGGTAACCTATATAAGATTGTCTGATTGTTAGTGATTTGGCGGACGTAGATAATTTATGCTAATATTTCAGGAATCACTAGTACCAAAAAGATAAGGATATTGGATAACTTGCATCTTATTCGTGGCAGGTACACCGGGGGCTTCTTAGAGCAAGATGGAAACCGACTAAACCAACCGTCTCCGTTATAGACATTATGGCGCATTCCAAAGGGTACCCGAAGCAGTTCTATATAAGAGGAAACAGACATTGGCGTACCAACTTGTTATTCAGTGGGGGGGATGGGCAAAGCCAGACACCCCCCCCCCCCCCCCCCCCCAGGGCCGGGGGGCGGTGCCCTTGGTATCCCTCGGGCGCCGCCGGCCACTGTTTACCCTGCCCAGTGGCAGCTATCTCAGGGGGGAGGGGGGGGGGCGCCCCCCTTGCCCCCCCGGTTGGTACGCCCATGGAAACAGATTACATTAATCATCAGAATTTGGCCTTCAGGATTACGAGCATAAGAATACACCCTTTCCGAAAGCCCGTCAGGCGACACTGGCAGCGCACATATTTTGGCAATCGTTTCCTGTGCGAAGCGTAAGATTGAATTCGAGTTCACGCCGAAAGCTGACGCAGTACTTGTGTCCAATGCAGGCAAACTTTTTGTTTCTAGCATATTTTTACATCGCTAGACATATCAGATCAATGACCTTGACAGTATCTCGATTAACAGTACTTTTTTTTTCCACTATAGTTACTGACAAGGTAAGAACGGCAGAGAGTAGCTTCAGTTACCCCGCCTCCATTGCGAGCGTCCTGCCTTCGGCAATGCTTCGGCGTCTCGTGCAACTCGAGCGCGCGCGCGCAGCCAAAGCACGGCGGAGGGCATGGAAGGCCTGTTGATTGACGGGCTTTTGAAGGACACGTCCTGCCGTGCTCACCCTCCTGCCGTGCTCACCCTGTCAGTAACCATAACCGTACGTTACAGGACTTACTACCCTCAATGGCAAAGCATGGACAGACAACAGACGTTTCTGCATTCGTGTGCTTCGAGATCTCGGATTTGGAAAGTGGACTGCGGAGGAGCAAATCAGAGTAGGTAATTTCCTTAAGAGTTTGTAGCTAATACATTTTTCGCTTAAAAAAGCACATGATCTTAAATATGACCATTATTATATCTCTCGTTTTTGCCATTCATCCTTTTGTGCATCCTTAACAGCAACAGATGAGGTCCTTGGTGAACAAGATTGGAGAGGCCCAGGAATCCACTCTTCCGCTCGCACGTTACCTTTTTTCAATTTCATTTAATATCATCAGTGCCATCTTGCTTGGTACAGCTTACAAGATCAGCGACCTTAAACGCCGAGAGTTGGAACAGCACCTTGTGAGAATGGTGCACGAACTTCGTACCTGCAACTTTGTAGACTCCAAACCGGTGTGGCTCAGCACAACCATGTCGCACGTGCCGTACACCAAAATGGCTGGAATGCGGAGCTCCATGCGCCTACTTCGTGAATTCATCCGGTGAGTTTCTTTTTTCGAGAGAAATAAAAAGAACGAATAGCGTAACTGCATCTTCGTGCTTCTTCGGGAGCACGACGAACCATCCGGTAGTAAGTAACGAAATTTGAGCATCGTCCATTTGGTAGCCGTTAAACGTATCGACGCCCTGTGACGCGTGGCAGTCGCTGTGATGTCAATAAGGTGAGTACGTAGATTCACTGCGTTAAAGGTGCATAGCTTATGATAAACCAGTAAATTCCCGAGTAATCGGGAGAGGTGTCACTTTTTTTGTTAGTTCACTAGCATGGTTTGGAAGTTAGTTAAAAGACGCCACTACTTTTTTTCTTGCTTCACTGGCGAAACATATAAGGCGTTAACAAGGCGTTAACAAAGTGTTAACGCCTCTGCAAAACGCGTCAGACATTGACTCAGAGTGTACTTTAATCAGGGAAGTGTTGTGACCAAGCTTCGATGTATGTGAGAAGTTTATATCTGCACGTGCAGAAAGAAACATGCTACGCTTCTTCGTGGTTGCTGCTAACGGAAACGTAATGGAATTGCAATTCAGATCCTTTGCCTGCTGGTCACCTATAGGCTCTATATCACGACAATGCGCGTTCCTCTTACGTTCAGCCTTTGCGCGCTTACGTCACCTTCTTCAGATCACGCCAGAGGCCGTTCTTCCATGCGGACAGCTGGCTCGCGCTGACGCCTTCTGGCCAGTTAAAAACTGTGGGGATTCCTGTGGTCTCCCTTCCCCGATGGCTTTGGTAACGGCTGCGGGTCGGAGCGCTCGGCTGCCTTCGCCGTGAGCTGCGACCTGTTCGTGAAGCAGAGAGTTCTCTGTCTTGGAGCGCCCTCCTCTCACTCCCTCTCGGGGGTTAAAAGGTTAAAAGGCGCGAACAAACAAGACGAAAAAAGACACACGTACGACATGGACAGGCGCCAACTTCCAACTGATTTATTGAAACACGAATCATCGTCAAACTCGACCCCAATCGCCTAAACGCATGCAACTCATAAAAATTCTTATCGCTCATTACCCACATCCTTCAAGGAACACAATTTATTTGGTTAACAGATAAAGAGATGCCATGCTTACGCATCTGTCAGCCGCTTTGTGTATACAGAAAGCTTCGATTGGTTCTCTTTCCATCTTCTCATTCCCTTTCTTGATAATCCTTGTGCGCTCTAACAAAGGTTCGCACCCACATCGTTTGCAGTGCTTCGTGTCGTACGTGTGTCTTTGTCGTCCTGTTTGTTCGCGCCTTTTAACCTTTTAATCGATATGACCCAACTAGCCCCAACCAAAGTTTTATTCTCTCGGGGGGACCGATTTCCGTTCCCTCGCTCGGATGCGGATCACTGTTGACAGGTGAGGAGGTTTCGCCTCTTGTTTTCCCGCTTTCGGGAGAGGGACTTGTCCGGTGACCGCGAAAGAGCTAGGACGTGTGTCGGCGACTTCTCCGATGCTTCCCCGGTCTTGGCTCTCCGGAACTCCGCGTCTGGCAAGTAAGGACCTTTTCTTACCTTGCCGGCACGGGGGGCATTTTGGATGAGGGCACTGTAGTTCACTTTGAGAGTGTTTTAATAAATACTCTTAGACTCTGTCCTTACTCTGGTACGGGTGTCTTCCCTTCCGCAATATTCGAAAGAGTGAGACAAGGTAGTCGATCATTGGCACCGGCGGAGGTAATTAATCGAACCGAACCGCGGTAATGTAGCCCTATACGTCGTCTATATTGCCGCGGAGATGTGGGGACCGCGAGCTTCTACGTTTGACGTGTCCTTTGAGATCGCTGCCGCTTATGAGATAACCCTTTGGTTACTCTATCGGTACCTGTGTTGGTAGCTAGCAAAATCCCACATAAAATGGCGCCCAACGTGGGGCCACGGCTTCCTTTATCGTGGTCGTGGCTCATGGCATCCGTCCCCTTGTTCGGCCTTTGCCAACATTTCGTTGCCTTTGATCGCCGCGTACCACAAGCGTCCTGATCTCGCCACTTATGGCTGAGCGAGTAATGCCGAGTCGGCAACCCGCAGTGCTACTCCTTTGATCGAGCGCGGTGTGATTCGTACGCTTGTTCCTGTTTTGAATTGGCGTGCGTCAAGCAACATTCTTTGCTGCGGGACGCCGTTTGTTCTCCATGCTTGAGTCGAACCATTCAGCTTTGTGTAATTGGGTTCCTACGCGCCACCAACAACTTGTCCTGAAGGGAAAATGTATATAGAAGTTTCGATTACCTTTTTGAGAACCGGATGGACTTTTATGTCCAGCGGGGAGCGAGGCTTGGCAGAGAAGAGTAGCGAAGGATTAGCAGTGCAATCTGGGAATGTAAATATTCGCGTTTTGTTTGACTCTGAGTAGTCACGGACCCTCAGCAAGAGTCGGACGGTGCGCCTGCCAATAACCTCGATAAGTAGCTGGTACTGTTACTGACGGGCTCCGGGAGCCGGGCCGCATAACCGTCGGCGTCGAGAAGTAGTTCGCAAACTGTTGACGCGCGCGCTGCATTCACTGCTGGTATTGCAGTGGGCGCGGTGGGTTTTTTCCGGGAAAGATTTGTATCTGCTTGATGCCAACGTACTCCTGCATGGTGGTGGCGCTACGCGGTCTGAGGCGCACTGTAACAATATTTGGGTGGACGAGTGACTCCAAGACTTTCGGAGGTTATGTTGCTCTGAAACCCGGGCGTCATGTAGCCAGAGCGCCCTTTACCGACATCTGTCAGACTGGCGTGATCCAGGTGGAAGAGCGACTCTATGACTCTCAGCAGTTACGTTGCTCCGAAATCTGGCCTTTCCTCAAAAGAAGGGTCCACACCTTTGTGAGCCCTTGATCAAGCCGTATCGAGGAACATGTTTTTCTTGCTTCGGTAAGCTAGCTAGCTAAATTACTCGGCGAAGCTAGCAGGTTTGAGCGTGTGAACTCCGGTCCCTTTTGTCTTCCTCCTTGGGCAGCAAGATGGCTGCTATTTCGTGCGGGAACTTGCGTCTTTCCCGCTCGCAGACGCGCATGCATGGCGGTTTGTTTCTATCCGCCCCTTCGAAGTCCCCGTATCCATTTACCTCGACTTCAGAAGACGGTCCAGCTGCAGACTGTTTGTTTTCGGCCACTTATAGTCAGCGGACTCTTTCGGTAACTATAAAGCCGGGTATTGTAAACAGCCTCTGCGTTAGCTGCCTGAGCAAAGGATTGAGAACTCGGCGTTTTTCCTAGAAGCTCTCTCCCCGGTGTCCACATTAAGCGAACTCAATTAGTTTGCTTGGTATGTGGACGCGTTTCGAACGGAGGGGCCCTCTTTTATGGCTTCTTCCGGTGTCGAATCGGGTAACTCTAGCATGGGTCGTGTGGCCTTTCGTAGGGCCCGCTTCCCAATGCAGCGCCTTCCTGTCACCGCTGACAAACTGGCCGCCTTTTTTGCGGTTGTGTTTATCGTTTGCTACAGCCCAGTTCTGCCGCATTTGCGGCCGGGCAGGCGAGCGTCGGTTGCGCACGCCCCCTCGTTTGGAGGCTGCGGCGCCCTTTCTGCCCTTTGGGAGTTCTGCGGCCGGTTCAGGGCGTGTTGTCTGCTGGCGCATTGCGACTTCGCAGGTCTGCTCCGGGGTCGTCCACCTCCTTCACCGGCCCATTGCGGCCGAAATGGCGCCGAACCCGCTGGGCGCCGTGTCTGGGACTTCCCCAACTGGTCTCCGCTCGTGGGCGGTAGTCGTTGGTCTTTCTGGTGCTGTCGCCTTCACGACCGCCTGACTGCCCCCCACTGCAAGCCAGCTCGTACCGCGACACCTGGGTCCAGCTGCAACGGCACGGTGTTTGTGATGCTCTGCGGGGCTGTGGCGGCGGCATTCAAGTGCTTGGGACTTGACTTTCCAGGTCTTCGGTCCTGCGGGCCAGCTGTTGACGGCGGACACTTTGAAGATGCGCGCTGGGTGTCGCGTGAATTTGTTGGAGGTGCGCAGAGAGATATATTATTTTATGAGAGCAGGTGGACCTCCTATATTCTTTATTGAGACCCACCTTGCTTTTTAAGGAGGGAGGGATGTGGGGATTCCTGTGGTCTCCCTTCCCCGATGGCTGTGATAACGGCCGCGGGTCGGAACGCTCGGCCGCCTTCACCGTGAGCTCTGACCTGTTCGTGAAGCGGAGGGTTCCCTCTCTTGGAGCGCCCTCCTCTCACTCTCTCTCGGGGGGACCGATTTCCGTTCCCCCGCTCGGATGCGGATCACTGCTGACAGGCGAGGAGGTTTCGCCTCTTGTTTTCCCGCTTTCGGGAGAGGGACTCGACCGGTGACCGCGAAAGAGATAGGACGTGTGTCGGCGACCTCTCCAATGCTTCCCCGGTCTTGGCTCTCCGAAACCCCGAGTCTGGCAGGTGAGGACCTTTTCTTACCTTGCCGGCGCGAACGGCATTTTGGATGAGGGCATTGTAGTTCACTTTGAGAAGGTTTTAATAAATGCTCTTGGACTCTGTCCTTACTCTGGTACGGGTGTCTTCTCTTCCTCTATATTCGAGAGAGTGAGACAAGGTAGTCGATCTCTTTTATAAGGGCGCATAGCCACTCTCCAAGCAGGGCGTAAGTGAAGCCAACGGAAGATGATGCTTATTGTCCCGGAAGTCGGGCGTCTGCTGGGCTTCCTAGTGCATTCAGTCGATGTTTTGGTCCGTACTTTCCGGTGTCTTTGAGTGGGTTTTAATAATCATTCTCCTGGAATTAAATCCCGAAAATGAGACATTTGAACTTGGGACGTATGCACACTTGATCTATTTGAATTTTAAATTGTTTACATTGAATGGCTTCCCATGATACTTCTCGGGTCTGCATGCGCTCTTACGGCACAACAAGCAGGCTCTCTTGAGGTGAGAAGCTAAAATCCTGCGCCCTCGACGCTTTTCGAATTAGCACATGGTAAGGGCTACAAAGCCTGCCAAGCGCTCACTTCCGGGACAAGCCGCTTACTTTCGGTGGCTTCAGACCTGCTTGCTGAATGCGCCATCTGGACACCTATAATAAAGATCAGTGGGACAAACGGCTGCCGCAGAGGAGGAGCACTCACCGATGTTTGTTTTCAAACAAGCTCGCTGCCACCAGCTATCCGCAGACCCCTGCGCGCTTCCGGTTTTGTTCTTTTCCTATTGTCTCACATCCTTTTGTTATTTTTACTACGTTCTACAATGCGCGCAGGTTCTTGCATGTACTTCCCTAAATAAAATCATCATACCCGATCATTGTGCGTTGCTGACGAACGAATATATTCAGTATCGGAAATCTACTGGGGCACCAAATACTTTGGCGTCATCGCGGTACTAATTCCCGCCGCATGCGGTAAATATAGTAAAAAAATGGCTCCAGTTTTCCATAGGGTTTCGAAGTTGGAACCACTTTCAAACCATTCAAACGCATTTTGTGAACACCCTGTTTGCTGATGATGTAGTGCCCGAAGCCGGTCAAAAAAAATCTAGCTCGCCTAGATCGGCGGCGAACAGCCAATGGCACACGCTCACCCCGACTGCCCGACCTGCATGCGCAGCTCCGAGCACGGAACTCGTTTGTTCCGGAAAAGTTCTGCGTCAGCTACAGGGAATAGGCTACAAATAAATCGCGGTTGAATCCCCCTTAATTTAGCTTGATCATACGAATAAGTCTGTATAGGCATCAAAACATATTGTTTTCATCGGTGTCACTCTGTCGCGTGTGCCTGATTTTGAAATTGTTTAAACTCTCTCCCGTCTCTGGTTCACTTCCCACGACACTGATAACTGCATTTTGTCGGTTGGCGAATGAACCTCCAGTATTTTCCGTACGTCAGGCTTTGTGTTCAGGTTTGAAACAAATCATAAACACTGCCGATCGAGTATCAGCAACCACCCAGTATTTTCATTTTCATTTTCATTCCTGTTGCGCTCTTCAGAAATAGCTTATAACTAAGGAAGCCTACGAAACGGTCTGTCCATACAGCATGTATCGGTGTTACGCATTCGTGACATAAAAGACATGTTGGAAAGTTTAATCTTCTCGGCCAAAGTTTTCAATTCGTGTACTGGTCATCTATGGTTAAGGTTGTTGCTGTTTTTTTTTTTCAGTGAGCGGGTGAAAGAGAACCAGGATACCTTGGAAGAGTGCACAACTCGCAGCTTTATCGACGGTTATCTGAAGCAAATGAAGGAGCACAAAAATGACCCCCATACACACTTTCGTGGTAAGCGCGCCTCGCACATTCCGATTCAAGCGTGATTATTCACTTCAACGATGGTGCAAACGAGTAATTACAAAATGCAAGTGAGTGTCGGCTACACTAAAAGCAGGCATGGTCTTCAATGCCTCTCCGAGTATATGAGAGCATGCAAATGGACGAAACTAATTCTCATGCTTTATGAAATATATATTAACTGTGTTCTATAAAACTAAGAAAACAATTCCGTTATTTATATGAATCCTAGTGCAAAAAAGTGAAAGCCGTTTACAACTCCCTGTAACACCGAATTAGAGCGCAGCTCTTGAGGAGGAGGAGGGAAGGGTACTGGGGGGTGAAGTGACCTGGGGGGGGGGGGTCACGTGACCTTGGGGAGTCATCAGTGACGATGACGATGCGGACTCCGATGACGTCATCTGTGATTATGACGATGACGATGCGGATGCCCCCCCGAAGTCACGTGAAACCCCCAGGTCACGTGACCCCCGCCGAGGTCACGTGACCTCCCCGATGACGTCATCGTCACTGATGACGTCATCGGGGAGGTCACGTGATCTCGGGGGGGGGGTCACGTGACCCTGGGGGTGGTCACGTGACCTGGGGGTGTCACGTGACCGGAAGGGGGGTCACGTGACCTCGGGGGGGGGGGGTCACGTGACCTTGGGGTGACCTTGGGGGTCACGTGACCTTGGGATGACCTTGGGGGCCACGTGACCTTGGGATGACCTTGGTTACGCCGACGGCGACGGCGACGGCGACGCCGACGCCGACGGCGACGCCGCTCAAGCCGGGAACGGGCCCCTAAGAGCTGCGCTCTAAAAACACAAGCCAAGTGCTACACAGATCTTGGGGTATGTCAATCTTTTGTACTTTGAATTGAGTTCAGCTCAATCTGCCCGATCGCGTTGAGTCAAACAATTCGTGAATTACGTGCTATTTATATTTTTAAGTCCCCCAAAAATTTTAAAAACTTAAACCAACCAGATATTGGTGAACTTCACTAGCCTCATTTGGTGCTGCGTACCTTTTTCAATACACGCATGTTTCGTTGTTTTTTGGTTGTTTTTTGTTTGTTTTTTGCACAGGCACGCACGTTTTTTTATGTTTTCTTTTTCTTCGTAGATGGAACTTGCAGAGGATACTAGTTAAATCCAAATATAACGACGTTTGCTTTCACCCCCCCCCCTCCCAGAGTGCCATCTGCTAGGCTGTGCCATGGATTTCTTTATCGCTGGCGTGTTTACACCGCCCCTAGCGGCCTATTGGATTCTGCTCGTCTGTGCCCAGAACCCTGACACGGTGCAGTCGAGGATCCATGCGGAAATCGACCGCACCGTTGGCCGCAACAGACAGCCCGCTTGGAAGGACCGGTTTGAGATGCCATTCACCACGGCCAGCGTGTGGGAAATACTCCGATGGAGGACGGAGGGTTCGCTCGGGATGCCTAGAGGGTACACCTTTCCTAATCTCATCAATACGTGCGCGAAGAGTGTTACGTTAGCCTAACACAAGACAAAAGGTTTGATAGCTTTTTATCTTGATGTAGACTACGATGCCTGCCTTTTTTGGTGCACTCGGAAGGCCTAAGAAGGCAGACGATATAAGCGTATTTGTATGATTGACTTTATTTTACAGAGTGAAAGAAGATATAATCCTCGGTGGATTTATTATTCCTAAAGGCACCGTAGTCTTACCAAACTCTAGGGGCATAAAACGCAGTCCCGAACTCTGGAAACGGCCCGATGATTTTGATCCAACCAGATTTCTAACACCAGATGGCGCCGCACTCATTAAAAAGCCAGAATACCACCTTCCCTTTTCAGTCGGTAAGCAAACCATATCTTTACGTAGTATATTAAGACTAGTTTGGCGTTATATGCATTTGATTAATGGCCACACTTTTAGACAAATGACGTAGTTGCGTGTAGTGTTCTTTGTCAACCCAAATTATTTTCCACGTGATACGAATGCTGGCAATATCTGTGTTTTTATTATGAACTGTGGGGTTGCCACCCCGCCATATATGGTAAAGCATGTGGTTCGCATATGTTCATTACTCCTGCGCGGTCATTAATGAATTGCCTAAAAATTAAAAAAAATATCCCCAATTAAGGAGGTAAACCATTTCTGCTTTCCAATAATTGTTCTAAAGCTCAAAACGCTGATACCCAGAAAGGGGCTGTTTAATAGTTTTATGCAGTGACTAGGTCAGGCAGCTCCTTTGTGTTAGCGGAGCTCGCCGCCAGCTTTCACTTCCACGAAGGCATTTGTAACGACTCAGAAAAAAAGGGGGGGGGGGGGGGGGGGGGGAGCGGCACAGATATTCACATTTATTGAAATGTCGAGGAATATTAAATAAATTATCACATATTAGCAGTGGCATAATCTGCGAACATATGACAGAACCAAAGAAAGAAGAACGAGCACCTGGATTCCGTTGTTGACTAATGTCCATGGGGAAATAAAAAAGAATCACACCGTAAAACAACGGGACATTCGGAAGCTGTCACACTACTGATGTGCTAGAGCTTTTGTTATAAAACGCAACGTTCGTAGAGCATATGTATTCGATCATCCTCACCTCGGTTGAACGGTGTCGCAAATTTTGATATAGCCTGAACACGATTCTGATAGTGTGCTCATGTTGTGATTCTACCAGGTATCAAGCACGAGATGGGAGCGCTCATGCAGAAAATGTTGATCTGTAGTCTTTACGCCCCGTTGTATTCTTCGTGAAATTATCAGCAGTCGCTGTTGATCTCACCAGTGATTCAGCTCAGAACCAACAGCGAACGTTTATTAACACTAAGCACCGCCAAAAGCAAACACAAAGGAAGTGACGCAACAAGCACAATGTGGCGCAACGATTTTTTTATTTTGTTTTTATGGCGTTTGGTATTGTTTTGCTTTTATAAGGCATGTGCAGTTACCGGCGATATGAGCTGGAATGCCCGAGCGGCGATCCGGCTGTACACACTACACAGTCCTTTGTACTTCCTCGACACGACATATTACTCGCGTTGTCATACGCCTGGCCCCTGCAGTCGTCAATCGAGATGCCGTTGCTTGTCAACAGAGCCATCACGGTATCGAAAATATACAAGCCTATATGCGATTCAATCGGAACAAATCCAAGAAAGCGTTCGTGCACTTCTCCCTTTAAACAGTAGCGTAAAATAACTGACAGCTGGTCAACGTGACTAAGGTCCGGAGACGAATCAATTATTAAAGAGAAATATTTTGCCCGTTTAACCTCGTCAACAAGACGGTCTTTGACGGCCTTTGCCATAAGCTCTATAAATTCGTCACAAATTGTTTTTGACAGGAATGATGGATCGGTGGCCTTTGCCCTTGTTACCATGGCGCTTAATGTGTTCGCCAAGAAAAGGATCAAACTGGGCAATGACTTCAAGCACTCCCATATAATTGCGATTTCGCGGGGAACCAAACACCTCCTCACTTCCCCACAAACGCTAGGCTTCGTTCAGCTAAACGCTTGACCACGGCGACCAAGTGCTTTAATACCTCTGTCGAGTAAACGGTCTGAGTGACGAGGTGCTTGACAAGCTCCTTTCAACGGTATTGCCCGAATCAGACCGCGATAGCCATGCCTACACGGAGGTCCTGTGTTCGACACTGTTTTCCTGTGCGCAAACCTTTTCCTTCCCTCTTTTCCACTCACAAAAGCCATGCCTGGTGAAGGAACTCGGGTTGCTCAGGGTCGAAAATAGTTTGCACATGAAACATAAACGGAACCTTTTGACTTCGAGTACATAAACCAGTGCCTCTCGTACGCTTCCCCATTTACAGCCTTTCGCGCAAAAAGAGCAGGCGACATATAGCGTTTTTGGCTTTTGCATCGTCTTTCGGAAGACGGAATGATCTCTGCCCGATTTCGAAAATACATCGGTCCCTTCTTGATGCATTCACTCCGAAACCGGTGAGTAATAACAGCCGGTCAGTTAGCTGGGTCATGGGCAGTCACGGCGCCTACCTCATCATGCTTGCGAGCTGCCAGGTTTCCGTCCAATCATGAAGGCAGCTGATCCTTTTTCTCGAGGCCCACGTCGTCGGTGGCAGGACGATGATCCAAACTGCCAGGGAACAGGTGAAAGGGCTCTTGAAGAGCCGTTTAAAGGCGCTCGTCAGCAGCAGGAATCTGACCGGGGAGGGTTGGTGCTCGTTGATCAGCAGCAGAGGATATCTGACAGGGCAGAACGGACGCGTGGAGCTCGGCGGTACAGGCTGGGCCAGGTAGAATCGACGTCGCTTGCCGCGGAACAGGACAGTGCTGAATCGACGCCTGTCGCTCACCAATAATAAGAATTGGTGAAGTGAGTATCTTTTGTTCAGGATCCGGAGGACCAGGAAGAGTGGATGCTTGCCGCTCATCAGGAAGTTAAGGAGAGGGTGGCGCAGACAAGTCTCTCGCAATCGGCGTCTGTTGCTCAGCACTAGGAATTGGTGAGGTGGGTATCCCTGGTTCAGAATCCGGAGGACCAGGAAGAGTGGATGCTTGCTGCTCATCAGGAAGTTGAGGGCAGGGTGGAGTAGACGAGTCTTTCGCAGGAGCAGTGTCTGTACTATAATGCTACTGGGGATGTTCAAATGAGGACTCACGGTGGAGCAATTGTGCAACTCCGCGGAAGCATGCATTCGCTATATATTTTGTCATTTTTGGTAGTTTATTCTCGTGCTCTTCTCTCGCTAACTTTGCTTTTTGTTTAGACGCACCACTTTGGTGCTTCCGACCGGACATCTCAAAGCGGAATTTTAGAACCAGATAAATATCTTGAGAAATTTCGAACTCTTATAGACACCTCACTATACATGGAAGCTTTAGCCGGACGGTGTTCATTGGTGGTACATATTTTGTTTCTTTTTCTACGTGAGCGACGTCACAGGTGATGAAAAGAGTTCACCAACCGAAAGTAGAATACATATAATCTATACCATTGCGTTCCATGTGCACACCCTTAACCCAGTAGAGCCAATCAGAGGCCAGGGGGTGAAGATTCATTACCATAACGAACATCATCATAACGAACACGACGTTCCGTGCGGCAATAAAATATCGAGAATCATTCCCATATGCGCGCAGTCTGGGAACAGTATGTTGGGTGCAACGCACCCGCAGATCCCTTCTGGTCATCAAAATAAAAGAGACGGTTCGAGGCGCAGCACGCGCACGCGCCTCGGGAAGCTCGTGCAAGAGAATGCTCTGAAGCCGCCATCACAGGCAGACACGTCCTTCGGTTGTCTCGTTCAATGTCCTCACTTTAAATAACAAGGTAGGGCCTCGAAGCCCCCCACATATTTGGTGACCCGGTCGAGGATCATGGACAACAGCGAACCCCAAGCAGCAGCAGCTGGATCCCCGGCTTCCATCTCGTCGGTTGCAGTCCGACTTCCGCCGTACTGGGACAGAAACCCGAGGGTCTGGTTCCTGCAGGCTGAGTCCCAATTTGATCTCAGCGGTGTGACGAGCCAGGAAAGCAAGTATCATCATGTCGTCTTGGCGCTGTCGCTGGCAGCAGCCGGCGAAGTATACGACATTTTTGCGCAACCCCCGGCCACAGCTTCGTACGACCAGGTGAAGGCGACTCTCCTGCAGAGAACCGAGGCATCAGATCGCTCCCGCCTTCAAGAACTTCTTTCGGCGGAAGAACTCGGCGATCGACGTCCGTCCCAGCTGCTAAGTCGGATGACTCAGCTCCTTGGAGATCGCGCCAACACGATCGGCGACGCTCTCCTGCAGGAGCTATTTATTCAGCGCCTGCCAACCAACGTCCAGATAGTGTTGGCCGCCGCCACGGCTCTCGACCTCACTGGCCTCGCAGCCCTGGCAGACGCCGTTATTGAAGTTGCCACTCCACCCGTCGCCAGCGTTACATCGGCGGCAGAAGACGGTAGCGAAGCTATGCCTGCCCTGCCAGGCACTCCATCGTTTGTCGGCAACCTCGAGCAGCTTTGCCAGCGGCTGAAACAAAGTGTTACCGCAGCAACTCACCGGCAAGATCTTCCACGCACTCAACAACAACGTGAACGTTCATAATCTCGTAGGAAAAATGCTGACCATACCCGCTCGGCAAGTTCAGTGGACGTCTGCGTATACCATCGCCACTTTGGCTCCTACGCCCGGCACTGCCTTCGGCCTTGCTCCTGGAGCAAACCGCTAGAGGCAACGAGTAGTCAGAACCTACCAGGAAGTCGCCTATTTTACATCGCCGACAGGACTACTGGGACCCGTTATCTCGTCGATACCGGGGCTGAGGTAAGCGCTGTTCCTGCAAAGCGCGCGGATCGATCGAAAACGCTCAACTACTACCTTCGGGCTGTGAACAACTCGTCAATCCCCGTCTACAAGGAACAGTCCATCACCTTAAATCTTGGACTTTAACGAGTCTACCGATGGGTATTCCTGGTCGCAGACGTAGGCAACGCGATCATCGGCGCTGACTTCCTACAACACCACAGCCTCCTCGTAGATGTCAAAGAGAGACATCTGCTCGACTCCACAACGCGACTCTCCACCCAAAGCGTCTCAACAACTGGCAACGCAGGATTCGCGTCAGTCTGCTCCAACATCGACGGGCCATTCCAACCTCCCCTGCAGGATTTTTCAAGCCTCACGCGAGCCCCTGACTGGACCAGACCGGTTTCGCACGATGTTCACCATCACATCGAAACAACGGGCGCACCGGTTCATTCCCGACCCCGTCGTCTGGCTCCTGAAAGCTCCGTATTGCTCGCGAAGAATTCGAGCATATGCTCGAGCTTGGAATCATCCGACCCTCGTCAAGCAGCTGGGCGTCTCCCCTGCATATGGTGTCTAAGAAAAACGGAGACTGGAGAATATGTGGCAACTATCGCGCACAGAACAAGAGCACAGTGCCCGATAGATACCCCCTCCCAAACATCCAGGACTTTACTGTCAACCTCCAAGGCACTACCATCTTTTCGAAGGCTGACCTTACCCGCGTGTACCACCAGATACCCGTCGCTGACGAAGATATCCCGAAGACAGCCATAACTACACCGTTTGGTTTGTTTGAGTTCCTCCGTATGGCCTTTTGGCCTAAGTAATGCGGCTCAAACCTTCCAGCGGTTCATCGACGCTGTCACGCGCGGGCTTCCTTCGTATTCGTCTACGCTGACGACTTGTTGGTCGCTAGCTCAACACCGGAGGAGCACACCAACCACCTCCGTCTTTTGTTTCAAAGACTCTCAGATCACGGCATCATTCTCAACGCAGCAAAAAGTGAATTTGGGAGAACAGAACTTGACATCCTTGGACACCGACTGGACCGCCACGGCATTAGACGTTTGCCGTCGAAAGTTCAAGTGATCAGAGACTTCCCAAGACCAACCTCGATCACCAAGCTCCGCCAGTTCCTCGGCCTGGTAAACTTTTACTGCCGGTTGATTCCGAACAACGCGAGACTGGTCCAGCCTTTTAACTCCCTCCTGACCGAATCTCCGCGTCCCTCATCTAACGTGCCATGGAGTGAAGACGCGGAGCAAGCTTTCTGCGAAGTGAAGAACGTACTTGCGATGCCGTGCTTTTGCGACATTCAGAGCACGCCGCCCAAACGTCGATTATGTCCGATGCCTCAGCCACTGCTGTAGGTGCCGTCTTGCAACAACACGTCAATGGCGAGTGGCAACCCCTGGCTTTCTTCTCCAAGAAGTTAAAGGCCGCTCAGACCTGCTACAGTGTTTTTGGGATGGAGCTGCTAGCTGCGTACTTAGCATTCCGGCACTTTCGACATTTTATCGAAGGTCGCACCTTTGTCATTTGGACGGACCACAAGCCACCGAGGTACGCCATCCGAAATTCCGGTTCCACCTACACGCCTCGAGAGATTCGGCAACTTTCGTTCTTGTCAGAGTTCACGACCGACATTCGGCACGTCAAAGTACATCCAACATCCCCGCTGATGTACTGAGCCGAATTGACGCCGTGCCGTAATCTTCTCCACAAGTCGACATCAGGTTGCTGGCTCAACATCAGGCATCCGACCAGGAGCTACATTGGCTACGCACAAGTACAGCTCTACAATTGCAGGATGTCCAATTTCCTGGAGACATCACCATCATCTGCCACACATCCACAGGAACGCATCGCCCATTCGTTCCGGTTGCTCTACGAAGGCAGCTTTTTGATGCCATTCATTCGTTGTCGCACCCTGGCGTGAAGGCGACGCAGAAGCTAGTGGCCAATCGCTATGTGTGGCCACGGCTCAAGTCCGACGTGCGAAACTGGGTACGGACGTGTTTGGCATGTCAACGCGCCAAGATACACAGACATCCAGTCCCTCCACGCACGAGTTTCCTGCAACCCGATTCCCGTTTCGACAAGGTCCACTTTGACCTTGTCGGACCCCTTCTGACAACCCAAGGGCAACGATACATCCTGACATGTATCGACTGCTTCACAAGGTGGCCGGAGGCTACACCGTTGCCTGATATGACTACAGCCACCGTCGCCGAGGCTTTCGTGTCCTCTTGGGTGGCGCGCTTCGGATGCCCTTACGAAATCGTCACCGACAGAGGGCGACAATTCGAGTCCAGCTTGTTCACCGAGTTGTCCCGAATCCTAGGCATGACAAGATTCCGGACAACGGCATACTACCCGCAGTCTAACGGCCTGGTGGAACGTTTCCACCGACACCTCAAGTCCGCGCTCATGGCCCACGCGAACTCCAGCGAGTAAGTACAACAGCTTCCACTCGTCTTACTCGGAGTTTGAACGGCGTTGAAGCAGGACCTCTGCTGTGCAAGCTCTGAACTCGTCTATGGGACGACCTCCGATTACCATCGGACTTTTTCGAGGTCGACCCGTCTCCAAACACGAGGCCAGAAGACTACGCCACAAAGCTAAAGGAGGTTTTTGCAGACCTACGACCAGTTTCTACACGAGCGGTATCTGCGAAAACGCCTTACGTCTCTCAAGACTTGCACAGTGCAACGCATCTGTTCGTGCGCTAAACAGCCCGACGAAAACCGCTCCAACCACACTATATGGGACCGTTCCCGGTTCTGGAAAAGAAGCCAAGTGGCTTCGTTGTACAGATCAGTGGACGACGAGACACCATTGCTCTCGAGCGTCTAAAGCCAGCCCGTCTGGAGCACGCACCCGTGAACCTCATTACATGTGAGACGCGCGAGGAAAGTCCGAAGTTTCGGAAGAACTCTGCTCAAGTTCATTGAACAAACCCATGACCAGAGCTAGCGCCCTAATTGTGTGTTGTCGTTGTTCTTTTCGTTTTTTTTAATCGCTCGTTGGGGCTCCTCGCTAAAGGTGGGGTGGGGGGGGGGGGCATATCTGTAGGGTGCAACGCCACCCACAGATCCCTTCTTCTCATCAAAATAAAAGAGACGGCTCGAGGCGCAGCACGCGCACACGCCTCGGAGAGCTCGTGCAGAAGAGCGCTCTGAAGCCGCCATCACAGGCAGACACGTCGTTCGGTTGTCTCGTTCAATGTCCTCACTTTAAATAACGTGGTGGGGCCTCGCGGCCCCCCACAAGTAAAATTCTCCATCTCAATTAAAAAACGCTACGCAGACTGCGAATGAAAGGCACGTGTGCCTTCTCGTGAATAGGAACACGGATTTACAGTGGTAAAAGGAAGAGATGTTTGGGATACATCTGGTTCTAACCAGGAAAATTCTCAATCGGAGAATCCCAAGGCAAAGGCAGCCTGCAAACGCGGTACTGCGCTGAAAGACCAGGCGGCAAGACCAGTGCCGAGTGCTCCAAGCGGCGTCACCCCAAACGTTTCTTTCTTTCTTTATTCCTTTATCAAAGTAAAAATCTGAGGTCTCGAAAGCCCTCTGCAGTGACAACAGTAGCCTGAAAAATTTACAGACGCCCAGTACACCCGTACCTGGCTCTGTTTCTCGAAGTGCGGCTCAAGTTTTCCGTGTTTAGCTTCCCACGGCCAGCAGAAAAAGAAAATACAACTACGAAGTATTTTGTCAGTGTTTTGCGCGGCTAACATCTGTGCAAGCTGATGCGACAACTGAAAACACATGCTGATGCAGTGTTTCTGTACTTGTTCGTCTATTGGTGGCGCCGCCGGAGGGCTTTTTGCTCCCTTCGAGACGAGGGGGTAATTGGGGACTTTTACGAGCAACCGCAAAAGGCTCCGCGACGATCCACCAGCAAACGCGGACTTCAAACAATCCGACGGGGGACCCCCCTTAGAGGCGGAGGCCTCGCTTCTGTAAGAGCTGACAAGGTCACTCGAAGCAAACAAGCTACAGGAAGTGACATTAGGCGGGGCCCCGACTTCTCCCGCTGCTTGAAGTTTTATTATCTGGAGTTACATTGAATTGAAGGGGGCAGGACGCTGTCAGGCTTCCCGACTTTTCCTCTGTCCCTCCGCAATTGCTATAAAAAAAAATACGCCTAGGCGAGGGGTCCTTTTTCTTCTGCTCTTAGGGCTGAGGGCCTGGGCTGCAGCCTCCTTAGCCCTAACCCCCCCCCCCTTCCCCCCTTAATCCAGCGCTGCAGTCAACCCTCGCGCCCCATGCCTCCACGCTCTACAACGCACATATCGTAGTACACCGACTGTGTTGTCTGCACTGCCTGATCGACGCTCGTGCATTCTAGCTTCTATCGCTGACCAGTATAGCAACTAGTCCACCTACCTATTTTATACCAAAAGAAGTATAAATATAGCGTTGTTTTTCTACCTGATTTTAATTGCTCACAGTTAGAGAGCGGTCACAGACCTGTAGCCCTAGCCAAATGTTTTACTTCAAGCGAGCTCCGTTCAATACCGCACGTTATTTATTCTCAGGTCTTATGGTATTTTTTCGCATTCGTTCAGGTAAACGAATGTGTCCCGCAGAGTCTTTGGCTACCGTGCAGATATTTCTGTACACGACCTGCCTGCTGCAGAAGTACAGCGTCCATCCCGAAGAAGGCCGACAGCTGCCCTGCCTGGATCCAGTAGTTACAGAGGGAAATCACCCTGATATTCAGAAGTTGCGATTTGTCCCTCGTGTCTGAATGAACGCGATCTTGCATCAGCATTCTTCAAATGAGCCGGATATGTTGTTGCATTATATGAAATATCAGTCATAATCCAATTAAATTCAAAGGTGCATGCGAGCTGGACAAGAAGGACGAAAATATTCCATGGAGAAGAAAAACAAGGGGGGGGGGGGGGGGGGGGGGCAAAGGACAAACACAAATGTCCAAACACAGCTAGGTGACTGGCGCGCGACCGAAAAAAATCCGCCTGCTCCTGCTATCGAACCAGGCACCTCTCCATTTCCAGTGGAGCTCTCTACCCCTTTTCCAGGGATTATTTTTGTCCTTGTGCAGCTCGCTTGCACCCTTGCATTTAATTTAATTATCATTATAACCTTAAAATGCAAGCCGCTCAACCTTGTTGGTTCTAGACTGGTGGCAGCTGATAAAACCCGTTTGCTCTACTGACGTCTAACGTCTGGTTTGCTCAGTTGGTGGAGCGGTCCACTGGAAATGGGGAGGTCCCTGGTTTGATAAAAGGACGAGGCTGGTTTTCGCGGTCGCACACCACTCACCTAGCTGTGTTTGGAGATTTGTGTTTGTCCTTTGTCCTACTTGTTCCCCTTCTCCGTGATTATTTTTGTCAAAATTTGAGTGTTCTGATCGATGTTTGTGGTGTTGGTAATGCCATTTAGCGAAAGCAGCATATCAGAAACAATTTTTTTTTTGTCTAATAACGAGTAAAGAGTAAAGCATAGATAGAATTTTGTTACCCCGTTGATGTACTCCCACACCTACTGACGAACAAATAAGTTATGTATACATTACCACAGAGTACAAAAAGTTTCGCAGATATATAGGATGTCCCAAGTCACCAGGCTCGATCTAAAATGGACCATAAAAGTCGACGCCTGTACGTAGCAATCTAAACTTTTCGTCAAAGATGTTTCTGACAGGTCGTTTTTTTTTTTCTTGTAAAATTACAAAGCGTAGCTCTCTTTCTGTAAAAAATAGTGTCAAAAAACTTGTCAGGGCCAATAGCGGGTGGTGACGCAAACCATCAAATCGAGTTGCGGGACGTGTTTGGCGCGCGTATTCATGAATGGCGTCGGGAGCGGCGTCGGGAGCAGCGTCGGATGGTCTAGCCGACCAGCGAAGGAAAGCAGACGACAAGCAGCTGAAATTCGTTGGCAGCAAAAGCGGCGTCGTTGTGCAAACGCTTGTCTTAATGCGAAAGCATTAACTGTCCCATGGAGCGAACCGACGTCATCAGTTTGAAGCGCGAAAACGGCACCTAGTTTCTCTGATCCCAAATGTCCCATTGGCTGGCGCGCGGCAACGAGGCTTCTATTGGTCGCTGCGCGAATCAGTTTTAACGACCGTGTCCGTGCCGCCTAGGGTGCCTCCATTTGCCGGCCGCTCCGCTGACAGGATGGAGGCACCCGACATTTTATGGCGAACTTTGCGATGCTCTCACCGGCGTCATATTGCGTCTATCTTTCCAAAACTTTCGCTAAACACAACACTATTGCACCACGACTTTGTCACACACAGTCTACAGGACCCACACCCAATGTGGAGCTTATACTGAACTCAAGCGCCATATTGTGGCGCTCCATTGGCTCCATTGGTGTCTCCACCCTGTCGGCGGAAGCGGCCGGCGGATGGAAACACCTTAGTGCCACCAGCGCGCCGATAAAACTAACCGCTGCAACCCCATGCCACTACGGGCCCCGCGCCGGTTAAAACGGACACGCTGGCGCGCGCTCGGAGGCTTCTGCTCGTCCGGACGCCGACAAACATGGCGGCGCCTCTAGCATCCACATCGTCGGAGGGGCTTCCATGCTCTCGCAACCACAGCTCATGAAGGCCCGTTCACACTCTTGCAACCGAGTACGACTGAGAGAGACAAGACCGGTTTTTAATACTCTTGCGACTTCTTAGGACCAGCTCCGCAGCAGCGCGCCTGGTCCTAAGAAGTCGCAAGAGGATTAAAACCCGGTCTGGTCTATCTCGGTCGAAGTCAGTCGCAAGAGTGTGAACGGGCCTTAAGAAGTGCTTAAGTGTACTTCGAGCTTTTTTTACTTTATGTTTTGCTTTTATTGTCCGCATTTATTATGTAACCAGAGGTACACTACAAAAAGACTATGTTCATTTTAATAAACAACGGTGGTCGCGAGCAGTCTTGATAAGGAGGTAGCGCCATCTATCAATACGAGCGTCAAACGAGCCCCACTACTCGACTTCGTCGTCTGAGTCGCCACCCGTTGTTAACCCGGGCAAGTTTTTTTGCCCTACTTTTTACAGAGAGGGAGCTACGATTTGTAATTTTACAACAAAAGACCGAACTGTGAAATGCACCTTTGACGAAAAGTTTTGATTGCTACGTGGAGGCGTCGATTTTTACGATCCATTTTAGACCGAGCCTGGTGACTTCCCTTACAGAAATATTAAACGAGCTTCAATTGAAAGTTTATATGATGCGCTCAATGCGCCGCATTGAGTCTCGATTGAAACTCAATAGATTTTTTTCTAACCTGTTTGTATTAAACCGTCCCAGGGTTTTGTCCACCGAGTATTAATAAAATTTTTAGCAATTGCATTTCAAAACATTTTTTGGCAATATTGTTTAGATAGAATTTTTGCAATTGAGTTTCAATAAAAGTTTTGCATTTGAGTTTCGATATAATTTTTGCAACTGAGCTTCAATAAGATTTTTGCAGTTGAGTGTCAATAGAATTTTCGCTATTGAGTTTCAATGGAATTTTCGGCAATAGTGTTTCAACATACTTTTTGCAATCGAGTTTCAATAAAGTTTTTGGCACTAGTGTTTCAATCAATTTTTTGCAATTGAGTTTCACTAGAAGTTTTGCTTTTGAGTTTCACTAGAAGTTTTGCTATTGAGTTTCACGAGAATTTTGCTATTGAGTTTCACTAGAAGTTTTGCTATTGAGTTTCAATCACATTTTTGCACTGTGTTTCAACCAAATTTTGGCAACTGCATTTCAATCGAATTTCTGATGTGCCATCTCATTACATATAGTTTAATAAGTTTTAATAGAAAGCCAATTTTGTTATTTATTTAGGTTCAATATGGTTTTATGCACTTCAATTATATTCCTAACAATGTCTTACAGGAATAAATGGAGGTCCTATCAGAAGCCTATCTATACACTATAGGAACTAAGTGCATTAATAGCGGGTTATCAAAGCAAATTATTCACTGCATATCAATAAATGCTGCATCAAAGAGTGAAGGATAAGTTAATTTGAATACTTAAATTTCAATTTGCTGGCCCCGCCGGATGTTTGTGCCTGTAATGCCCTTTATCACTACTTATTCAAACCTCCACAGACGCTTTCAACATGTCAGTCATTCATAACACCACCTGTCGGCGCGCTCTCGGAGCCGCCATTGCCGATCCTCAATTTTGCTTGTGTCTGTCATTTCTGCCTGCCGCTAACCACCTTAAGACCTTGATTTTGCGCTTGAGGCTGTTCGTGTGTGCTGGACGCCCGCTATGAAATGTGTAACCCACGTCCAGTGGGTAAGTGAATGTAAATTTGTTCCTGTCAAAGTTGAATAATGAATTCTGCAAAAGTAATTATGTGGGTTTTTTTTTGTGCACATGATCCAAGGATTGTCAAAGTTATGTTATTCAGGGCTACTATGTGACCTCTCTTTTGCACAGAACGTGACCAGAAACTGTGTTCCCTCTGCTGCATCAGCAGCGGGAACGCAGTCGCTTAGAATACATGTTTTCATATCTGAATAACCCTGAGCAGGGCATTCTAGACTTGATTAGAGGCACTTTTATATGAGCCACGGATGTAAATCGACAACTATGCGTTCGCACAAGACTCAATCCAACTCATTGGCTGTCTGGCACTAATTCATTTCGAAGCACACAGCCTTGAACAACTGCCTCAAAGTTTATTTATGTAAACAATGTATGAAGTGCACACACATGCAGGAGGAACACGGCTCCAATAGCCTTACTGCGCAAAATTGATATTTGCAGAACTCTCACTGCGTTATGTGAATTTTATTGCTAACAAAAACGTAAACAAAGGGGGTTCACTCAAAAAGTTCAACGCTAAATTCAATGGCCCGCAAAAAAATGTGCAACTCGATGCCTCAACTAAAAACCCTCCAGGAACATGCATTTTGCTTTTTCATTTCCACTTTAAAAATTCGCGTCTCAACTCCTCACACAAAACATGAAAATATGACTAAGTTGAAGCATGAGGCGTCCTTGAGAAAATCAGCTTCTTAATTTTTTATGTACTTAGAGTTTAGACTTGACCTTGTAATGCGCAAAAAAGGTGACACCGAGCAAAGTCTACTTGACGAGTTGAGTAGCTGGTTTTTGCGGTTCATTTTAGTGTTGGTTGTACATTTTCTTTGGGACAAGCAGTATAGATATTAGGCGATTAACCGAAGCCCCGAAATACTCAGATACCCTTAGGAAATCGCACAATTTAAGCGTAGAATGAAGAAAAACTCGAAAATAAAGCACTGGTGATTTCTCGTGCAGCAGAGAATGCAGCTGAACACTAGCAATAGCAACAAAGTGAATGTTGGATAATGAAGCAGGATCACATAACGTCAAGGTGGCGGCGCCCATGAAAAGCTGTATGAAAGCCTCTAAATTACCGACAAGGTAAATGTGGGCATGGTCACTATATATATTATATATTTTATTGAAACCGCAATGATACATGTTCGGCATTGCTGTCATTTCAACATTTTCAATCGATGCAATATATTGCTTAGAGTTATTGGCTGGCAAATTGAGGCTCCGATTTATTGCCCAATTGTCACAAGATTGCCTTACTTATTATTTTTCAAGACGTGACTTGGGGAGAGGGAACTATATTGCAAACCGAAAGTAAGCAAATCCGAAATATTCTAAAGACTCAAATCGAGCCAGGAGATCATGAAATACAGTTGCAACATTTTACCTATTTCATCTCCCTGCACAACTTTGTCGAATGGCTCGTTGTGAGAGTCAAGCGGGTGACCCTTGTATTGT